GCCACACCGCAATTGACTGCACTCGCATTCAGGTGAAACTTTCTGTGTTCACCGATGCCTCGTCTGCCGACACCTACCAATTTAACGTTAGAAAGCTTCGTGTGGTCACTGACAGTGACGTTCCTCGCAGTGTCATCATTGTCCTTGTCGACCGCACTGACTTTCCTGGAGCTAAAGCTTTGTTCACGCCATCTGCCATTTTCAGTCGTTACCATGGCACGTCTCTCTGTATGCCATTCTGCTGCGCAATGATTATGCCACTGGTATAGTTGTTTAATATGCCAGATTATGTCCTCTCACATTACACCACCACGAGACACTTGGTCACGGTCACCTAGTAGACGAACGCTCTTTCGTGCCTATTGAATCCCATGGCATTGCCCCAAAACTTCAGTTGGATGCTGTAATACCTTGTTTCCATCCGGATGACGTCTTTCCGGATGTATTCAACCGCTCCATTAAAAGCTAGCTCTCTCGAAATCAACGGGCAAAACTTATAGCACTTCTTCAGGAGTACAGACATTCATTCGACTTTCTGCAGAAGCCAATTAGTCAAACCAACATCTTCATTCACAGCATCGATACGGGAACGCGTACTTCTTTGTGACAACGTCCCTACTGTACATCAGCAACAGAACACAATACAATTGCGGAGCAAGTAACTGACATGCTTCGCCACGGTGTTATCACGCCCTCCTCAAGTCCCTGGTCTTCGCCTGTAGTGCACGTCAGAGAAAAAGATGGTTCAATTATATTTTGTTTCGTTACGGACGCCTCAACAAGGATACATGGAAAGATGTCTACTTTCTTCTCCGCATCGATGACGCCATTGATTTCCTGCAAAGAGACGAATATTTTTCGTCATTGGATTTGCATTCAGGATACTGGCAGGTGCCGATAGAAGAATGTGACCATCCTAAAATAGAGTGCGTCATGACAGATGGCCTATATGAATTCACAGTATTGTCATTCGGTTTGTGAAAAGTGCCTGCTACATTTGAGCAAACAATCGACAGCATTATACGCAGCCTGAAATGGCAAGTATGTTTATGTTACCTAGATGACGTTGTCGTGTTTTCCCTAGATTTTCCTATGGACTTCGCCGGTTTGCACACGATTATTCAGTGCCTCACCTAGGTAAACCTTCAGCTTAATTTGAAGAAGTGCTGCTTCACGGTGCGTCAACTCGTTATACTTAGCTATGTGGCCTCAGAGGATACAATTCTTCCAGACATAAAAAAACTTCGTGGAGTCGCCAAGTTTCCAAAACCGACAACACCCAAAGAACTGCAGAGCTTCCCTGGTTTGTGCTCATATTTTCATCGTTTCGTCCGTAACATTGCATCGGTCATAGCAACGCTCTCAAAACTACTTGATCCCCTTGCCAACCTTTCTCATTAGACCCAAGCATTCGATGACGCCTTCGACACATTTCATCACCTGCCCACATCACCACCTATTTTACGCCATTATGACCCAACAGCCCCGACCAAAGTGCACACTGATGCTAGCGGCATCGGCCTTGGCGCAGTACTCTCGCAACATAAGCCTGGTATTCCAGAATATGTCCACGCATATGCTGGCCGCGCACTCAAAAAAGCGGAAACTAACTATACTCTGTCAGCAGGAAAGAGTTCCTCGCCATTGGGTGGGCGTAAAGCAAATTTTGTCCTTACTTGTACGAAGAGATTTTCGACGTTGTCACCGACCATCGCCCACTCTGTTGATTAGCTTCTTTGAAGGACCCTCTGGCCATCTTAGACGTTGGGCACTGTGTCTTTAGAAATTTGACATTCGCGCCATCTACCGATCTGGGCGAAAACTATCACACGCGGACGCGCTTTCTCAATCACCAGTTTGATCCAGGGAACACCTGCACCAAGAAAGTGGTATTGCTATCACTGTCATTTCCATAACGAGCGTGCCATTTGAGCTGCGTAAAGATCCACGAATGTAATCTCTTTAACGTCTTTTCCGACACTTCCTCATCAGCATACCCACGCACTCTTCGTCGTCAAGCCACACACTTTGCGATACTAGACGCACTCCTATATCGAAAAAACCACTAAGTGGATGTGCGTTAATGGCTTTTGTTTACACCAAGTCATATGGGATCTCATGAAAGTGCGCATTTTTATGCTGATCCACAGCATGCTCACTCTGGAGCGCTGAAGACGTATGAAAGCCATCGCCAGCACTACTACTGGCACGGCATGTACACCTCCGTCCAAAAATACATCCAATCCTTTTCATTCTGACAACAACGGAAGTGACTTGCCCATTCACCCGGACTACTGCAGCCTCTACCATGTCCGGCACGTCCTTTCGACCGTGTAGGCATTGGTGTATATGAACCGCATCCTTACACCGCGGCTGGCAATCGATGGGTACTCGTCGCTCAGGACCATCTCACGAGATAAGCAGAAACAGTTCCTCTTCATTCAGCTGCTGCTCAGGACGTAGCCAGCTTTATTTTAAGACCATTCATGAAATACTCAGCGATAGAGGGCGCGTGTTAATATCCGAAATACTTCAAGAACTCCTTCATGCATGCCATACGGTTCACCGCACTTATACTACCTACCACCCGCAGGCCAACGGGCTAACAGAGCGCTTCAATAGAACCCTGGGAGACTCGGATGTGGTGCCATCGTTTGTAACGTATGCATACAATACCGGAACGCAGTCAACAGGCTTTTCGCCTTTTTTTTCTATACGGCCCTGAGCCATGTGGTATCTCTTGACACCATTTTGCCATATCGCCCGGACGCTTCCGAATTCAGTCCTGTTTGTGAAATTGTGCGGCTTGCTGAAGAGTGTCGTCAGTTTGCCTACTCATTCACATCTCACAGGCACGCCTTTGAAAAAGAACGCCATGACCGCGAAAAGCAAGTACATAGTTTCGCCATAGGATCGCTCGCCTGGCTTCGATTGCGTTTCACTCTCATGGCCGCCCCAAAGTACCACAGTCCTTGCCGCATCGTGGAACGTCGCTCTCATATAACATATGTGATCAAGTCAGTCAACCTACCCACAGATAGGCGCCGCATTGGTCGTGAGACAGTTCACGTCACTCGCCTTAAGCCATATCATGAACGTTTTCTTCTGCCCTCACCTTGACTCACCAGGATGGCCTCCCTTTGTCGTGGAGGTGGTGTAAGGAGAAATAAGAACAATATGCCGTAGTGGGCCATCTCTTTAGCAGGAGCCTTGAACGCGAGCTGTTGGTCCTAACGCTGTGATTCCTGTGTCCGTCATTGCCGCCTGCTTTCAGTATCAATATACCTGCTGTGCAGGTGCTGTTCACATCAATAAACCTCGTTTCTATAATACTCTGTGTGGTTTTCACGATATAATAATGACAGAGAACGTACAGGAGGGTTTCGGTAATTTTTACAATCGGGTGTTCTTCAACGCGTACTGACATCGCACAGAACACGAGGCTAAACCATTTCACCTCCCACGAAATGTGACCGTCGCGGTTGGTATCAAACCAACGACATTCGGGTCACCAGCCAAACACCATAGCCACTGATCGACCATAGTGGACATGTGGCATAAAGGAAAACGTGGTGACAATGGTGGAGAATAAAAAAAGAAAGGCAAAGAAGAAGCCGACTTTCCACAGGGCTAGCGCCCAAAGTGTAGGCTCACTTCGTGTGAATCGGGCACGTTTTGATGTTTCAGTACGCTTAATTTGAAAAGGCGTTAGCTTTTTAGTCGACAAAATAAGTTGGCTAAGTTCAAAGAACAAAGGCAAACAACGTGAACACGCCTTCCTACGGATGTCTACTAGACACAAGCCTAATACGGGCCTGACTCGTGCCCCAGAACGACCCGGACAGGCCCCGGTATGCACAAAAGCCCGGACTTTTAGGCCGGCCCGGGCCTGTGAACTACCGTATTTTCGACCTCATACCAAAACAGATATAGGTCCGCTTCGATAGGCCACTTTTATGTCAACAAAGTTTACGTACAGAAGTCGAAACATGATTTTCATTGTTCTACACCTTGCCAGTTTGGTCAACGCTTATTTTGTTTTTCGTTTTTTTTCCATGCCTCTGCCACACCAGACAATTCGTCGTCTAACCATGAACTTCATCAAGTTACGCTATGCGTTCCGCCAATGTTCAGCAACTCAAATGCGTCAGTACGTTTCGCTGAGCGGCAGAGTTTCTCCGTTTAAAGTCTATCTAGACTTAAATCTTTCCCTAAAACGTGACAGCTGATGTCACGTTTTTTCTGCCTGCTCAGGCCAATCGCCCAGCCTTTTGGGCACGGCGTAATCTCAGAACGCCAGCTCCTACAGCCTAGTATTTTCGACTGCGAGGACACTATACAACGACTGCACCACCATGATTCATTGTTTGCCATCGTCTGTAGCAAAAGAGTCCAAGTGACGACTTCACTTTCATTTAGTCGCATGCGTGGCTCAAGGCTGAATGTCATGCTCAACGTACCAAGCTGGCCCGCGGCGGCGAGTTGGCAAGACTGCAGCGCTTCCGCCTTTACGTTCCGCCTGGCCATTCCGCGTCCTTGCACCTCATTTTCTAAATTCTTGTTAGGCAGGAGTGTGTCCCTTGTTTCCGTTGGCTTTAAGGGCGCAAAGAGGTTTACAGTGTGTGTTCTTGCTCCATCGCACATCTGACTTTGCGCAGGACATGTATTTATTCTTACCAGCATCACTACGTTTACTGTAGGTATCTCGTCGTCTTTTTGCCATCGCGCAGCCAAATATTAGTACAGGCTTCGCCATCACGCTCCTTACATGAACTTGGCACCTGTTTTTGTGTAAGAAGTAACGACATTTTTTGTAGACTATTACAATACCTTTTGTTTGTATAACCACCCCTTATATAACACCCCTCTGAAGCACCTAAAGTAAATAAAGCAACTGAAATGAAACTGTAGCTCTCAATTTTTATCCTTCTTTTCATCATCTTAAACATGCTTTATGACGTGGCTCTTGTAAAACAGTTCATCTTGCTTGTGCTCCTTACCATGTACCATCAGTCAGGACGTTGCGGCCATCGAAGGAGTAGATCCTTGGGGGATAAGGAAACATGCCTCCACCACCAGAAAAGAGTTCTCGCCAAGAGTTGAACACGACTTCACCCTGCAAGAAAACATTTTTATTAGTAACACCTCTGCACACAGATGTAAACTACTTCCAAGTGATTTGCTGAGAATTTTGACACAACCTAGCATATTTACCAAAAGCAGTCTTGCAAAAGTTTCCAAGGTAAGGTTAACAATAATCCTCGTGCATTTCAAGCTGTACACACATTCATTTCTTTCGCAGTGCCTTAGGTGATTCGTGACATTTTATATTGACACAGCTGATCAGAGAAGGATGAGGGCTTCATGTGGGTATAGCAATGTTGTTCTAACGTAGCGATCAGTGTATTCCGTTATGACCGTCATCAGCAGGCGCCATGCTGTCGCTGGGAAGCGTAGCCGGGCAGCGTTCCCACGCCTGGAACCCAGTTTTCTCGGAACCAGCGTCCATAGATGACGGGGGAGCGGCGCTCTTTTAATCCTCAAACAAGTAGCCGACTGGCCCGCTGCCTATGCCCGCCAGGTATTGTCTCTGCTTGCCGGAGAATGAGACGTCGTGTCACCACGACGCCGTGAGCCGTTCCAGAGAGGACAACAAAGACAGCGTCTTCCTTGGAAGAAACGGCGGCCGCCGCCACAAAGTGCCCTGCTAATTGAGCGGACAGATTGGTGGGCCGTTTGATGTCTGCTGTCCGGAGCTTGGGACCCCTCGACCAGCGACACACACACGACGAGGAAGAGCCCCTCTGGCGCCACTTTGCAGTGCAGTGATCACGACTCAATATTGGATGCTCACGTGGGCCGTGCACGCTCGTACCCCTCACCTGTTGTGTGTGTGTGATTGGTGTTCCACTCAAGAAGGAGGAGCCCGACAGGGCTTATAAGGACGCCGCAGAGTGCGGGACGTCGCTCTGAACTGTGTAACGGTTCAACCACCACGCTCGTGGTTTGTGAAAACTCTGAACCTTTCTATGCTGTAAATATTTGTAAATAGTGCCATAAACTTGTTTGTTTTTTCGTATCCCCATCTTTTAAGCACTCGTTTCCTCAACCCGAAGCTACACCACGCTACCGCAAGAGACCGGGCAGCCCCCGATCTGCAACAACTGGTGAACAGCGCTGGGATCCGCAACAACGGGTCCTCAGAGCTGCGATCCGCAACAACTGGTGGCAGCGGTGGGATACGAAGCTACAAGTGACAACCACAGTCGGCCCAAGGGAAGCAGCTGGCTCGAGACATGGATCACGTATGGGTGAGTGCTTGGGTTTTCCTTTGAGTGAACCAGGTTCTAAAAGAGGATTAAATTTTAGAACTGGTAGTTGACTTTGCCGAAAGACTCAGTTTCGCCGTTTCGCAAAGTTTTTTTTGGAAGTAGCGAGCACTCAGTACGATCATGGACTTACGGGAGCTGCAGAAGTCAGACTTGTTGCTGTTGTGTGAGGAATTGGGGATCGATACAAAGGCTTTGGCACGGAAACCCATAATCATTCAAGCGATTAATGATTTGGGGGCTGATTATGAGGAACTAAGTGAAGAATGGGACCTCATTATTGAAAGAAAACTAAGAGCAGCTCAGATGGAAGGAAAGAGTGAAGACGAAAGAGAAGACCTCAAGATAAAGTTTTTCGAACAAGACTATGAGTTGAGTATGAGGTTGGGACCCCAGCGAGGAGTACTTCTTCTCGAAAATGAGGCAGAATTCGAGATGTCTAGGTACATGCAGCCATATGAGGTATCATGGGATATGGGCCTGTATCGTAGACTGTTTGAACGAAAATCTAGGCAACTGTTGTGTGAGCGAGACACGTGGTCTCAGAAGCTACTCACGGTTCTGCGCAGCGAAGCAGCGGATGTTGTTGCGCGACTCAGTGAGCAGCACGTGAACAACTATGAAGTTATCAAAGCAGAGCTGATCAGAAGATTCGGAACTTCTGTTAGCAAAAAGAAAAAAAGACTCGCACCGGAGTCTGAAAGTGAGGCGCGTCACAAAGCGCTGGAAGTTGAGGAGCGTCATGAAGCGCTAGAAACAGAGATCGTGCCAGAGAAGGGCCCGCGTATTCTAGAATTCATCCAAGTAGAGTATGCTGAGAACGAGGCCGTGGCCGGTCTGGAGGTGGGGACGATGTCGAAAGACGCTCCTTGCGCGGATGAGGAAGGTGCCAGCAGCCCTAATGGGCCCAGTAAGAGGCTGGAAACCTTCTTCATGCCTCAAGAGGACGTTTCGACATCGTCAATTGTAGGCATGGATAGCGCAGTGGCCGGTGAGAGCAAGAACGCCATGCTTCAGCAGTGCAGCCCTATTATCGAGGTGATTTGTAAACATCGCACAAAAAGAAAGAAGCGGAAGCGTTCGTCACTGCGTAAGCCTACGACAGGTCCCACCTTGTCACGAGAAAGGCGTAGGGGTAAGCCGTTCATCCGTTTCAAGAAACGTCAATCGTAGCATTCATGGAGGCACAAGCGGCGAGCCAGGTGTGGAGGGGGAAAAGGAGGGACGTCACCCAAACGAAGCGCGCGGTTCAGTTTGACGACTTCGGAAAAGCGGCCTTTCCCGAAGGGTATAAGTCGAAAGGGCAGAGTGGCTAAATACCGCGCAGGGGTGAATACAAAGAGAAAATGGCACAGGCTCCCCCCAAGCTTCTGGCGTCACTTTCAAATTCCTACGGGGAATAGGACGAAGTGCAGAATGAGGCGTGACAACAGGACACAGCCTAGCATTCATGCGTTTTGTAGCCTCTGGCGTGTTCGAAAACCACCGGGACCGCGACCCCATCGTGTGCGATTCAGGCGAAACTAGTGTAGAAAAGGGGGCACGGTCAGTTTTAGTAATTGTTGCACGCGCATAATAAGTATGGTTATTCAGTGCAACATTGAAGATTCATGTAGGAGTCGTTTGAATTGTGTATAGGTTACAAGATTTGTAGTAAAGTTTGCAGAAAGAAAACCGCTGAACTGGAAGTGCTTTAATCACTAGTACGAAAATATCGAAAAGGTAAAAACAGAAAAGTGTTATTCTCGAGCGTTTTTAAGGTATAAGAAGGGCAAATTGAAGGGAAGCACTGACGCGCTCAGCCGCTCTTTTTAAGTCATTCTGGGTGCTCTTGATGCATCAAAATTGATATTTTAGTTGTTTTTTTTCGTGCATCTAATTATGAGAATGTTTAAGGTAGCACATTTGGTTTCTCAGCACAAGTGAGTCCTGATAGTTTTGAGTGTGAGCTTTTTGTTAAAGCTAGTGAAGAAAATTGGTTTGCCATCCCTCTTTTGGTTTGGTTTGTTCGAAGGGGGCCGAGTGCTTGCTTGTGCATGTGGTCGAGTTTCAGAAACGGTGTCGAAGATTCGGCAAACACCCAGACCATGCCACAAGCGAAGGCCAGTTCCTGGCATTAAACTACGGACCCTTTCGTCGTCCCTGCGAGCAGCAGCGGTGACTGCTGCCCTCCGTGACTCATCTGGCGAGGGGGAAGCTGTTATGACCGTCGTCAGAAGCGCCATGCTGTCGCTGGGAAGCGTAGCCGGGCAGCGTTCCCACGCCTGGAACCCAGTTTTCTCGGAACCAGCGTCCATAGATGACAGGGGAGCGGCACTCTTTTAATCCTCAAACAAGTAGCCGACTGGCCGGCTGCCTATGCCCACCAGGTATTGTCCCTGCTTGCTGGAGGATGAGACGTCGTGTCGCCACGACGCCGTGAGCCGTTCCAGAGAGGACAACAAAGACAGCGTTTTCTTTGGAAGAAACGGCGGCTGCCGCCACAAAGTGCCCTGATAATTGAGCGGACAGATTGGCGGGCCGTTTGATGTCTGCTGTCCGGAGCTTGGGACCCCTCGACCAGCGACACACACACGACGAGGAAGAGCCCCTCTGGCGCCACTTTGCAGTGCAGTGATCACGACTCAATATTGGATGCTCACGTGGGCCGTACATGCTCGTACCCCTCGCCTGTTGTGTGTGTGTGATTTGTGTTTCACTCAAGAAAGAGGAGCCCGACAGGGCTTATAAGGACGCCGCAGAGTGCGTGACGTCGCTCTGAACTGTGTAACGGTTCAACCACCACGCTCGTGGTTTGTGAAAATTCTCAACCTTTCTATGCTGTAAATATTTGTAAATAGTGCCATAAACCTGTTTGTTTTTTCGTATCCCCATCTTGTAAGCGCTCGTTTCCTCAACCCGAAGCTACACCACGCTACCACAAGAGACCGGGCAGACCCCGGTCCGCAATAACGGGTCATCAGAGAAGGGAGCCGCAACAATTCTAACCTGGACTAAATGCAGCTCTATGACCTTCAAGCCTGAGGAGGTACCCAGCACGGGCACCCTGCGAGTCTCATTTGTATATTTCTTGCTCATCCGTTTAAGAAACCATTCATAACGCGAATATTTTAGCTATGCGAGGATCCCCAGCACGAGTATAATCGCATTAGGAAGATCTGAAAAGCCGGTATGTGGCATCTGAGCTACTTTTTCGACGCTTTGTCGGCTACTGCTAGTTACACCAGTGGAAATTCACATCATCTGCAGCGGGTTTCAGCAGGTTTCTTCGCCCTTCGAGTGTAATGTCGGTGGGAAGAGTTTGCTGAGCGAGGCGGCGGCGCCCTTTCTTCTGAGTGAAGTCAGCCTTGGGTTCATGAAATGTTTTTACACAATTATGTTCGTGATTTTGATGACTTCTTTTTTTGTTGTATTCTTTCACACATGTTCCGTTGATTTCAACCCGGGAATGAGCAACGCAAACATTCTTTCAGTCCAGCATTGACTACTTTATAACGAGCATCATTATGTCACATGAGATCTACAGATGAATGACGAAACAAGCTACTCAAGCTATACATAAAAAAACGTTTTGACAAGAAAACATGTACCCTTTTGAAGCAAATAATAATGCTGGCTGAAGGGACTTTCTATTGTTCTTGAGGTTTTTGTTACAACTGTTGTTTAACCTTGAGAAAACGGCACATAATAAATGTTCGTAAAACACTTTTCTCAACGTCTTATGAGTGACATACCATTACCGAAACTGTTTGGCGAATCGTCATGAGCAGTACAATAGAAAGTTCTT